GTTTCTCTGTGTAGCTTTGCGCCTTTCCTGGGACTCACTTGGTAGTCCAGGCTGGCCTCGAACTCACAGAGATCCACCTGGCTCTGCCTCCTGAGTGCTGGGATTAAAGGCATGCGCCACCACCGCCCGGCTTTACTCTGCTTTTTGGGGTTTCTCCTGGAGATAAAAAAGTCTCCTCTTCAACAGTGGCTTCTAATGTTAACCACGTCCACCACAAATGAGCCTGCTGAGTTTCCTTGGTTAAGTGATTTTATACTATAAACATCTGAGCTCTAATCTTCAGGAGTTGAAAATGCTGGAGTCTGTCAGTACACATGTCCATGTGTGAGTCTGGGCCAGCGTATAAATGTATACTGTTCTTATATAGTAAGAGCCTATCATGTTTATTTACTTACTTAATTTTCCTGTCCCAGTCTTTGGGAATGAGTATGTATGGAATTCTCCTCTTCTTCTAGAATATAGAAAGAAATCCAAAAGTCTACTGATAGTTTGGGTTTTGCTATCAAGCTGGGTCTCCTAATATCTTCAATTGATTTTGTTTCTTAATTAATTGTTTTACCCTGATATCAACACAGATGGCCATACTTCTCCTGTGTGAGCTAGAGGGGAAGCTGGGTGGCCTGCCAGTGTTTCTACTGCTCATGGTAGTGTATGGTTAGAGCTGATAACTCAAAATCATGATGACAGTTGCTGTGTCCCTGGAACTTTCTGGAGTTTAGAAGTCATGAACCCTACTCAGCAGTTCATTCTTAGCAGCACACAGCGCTCTTGTTTTCCTTGGCTTTTTTTCCCAGTGAGTACTAGAAGCACTCAGTCCTCACTGTGGGCTGATTGCTCTCCTCTGTTCACTTGAGCCATAATTCAGTGGAAGCTATTTTCACTCCAGGAAATGTGGGTAGAAGTTGTGTAATTGAGAACAATGTCTTGAAGTGCAAATGGCTAGAATTTGATGTGCTAAGGCTGATGCAGAATGACTTGGTTGTCCTTACAGGCAACTCACTGAAATAAAAAGGTTTAGAATGCTTTTTGTTTTGTTTTATTTTGTTTTTTTTTTCCCTACTTTTTGAATCGCATCATCATTACGGCTAACTGTTCATTAAATGATAATGATTTGTCTCTATAGAAAAAATCAGACTTAAAGTTTTACAATCTACATACATGTAATGCACTTAATGAAGTCATCAAGGAATTCCATGATATTCACATTTAACAGAAATATTTTTTCAAGTGTGAATGTAAATTAATTAATTGCTATCCAAATAGTTTCAGAAGAATCATGTTCAACCTAACTGAAGATAAACAATAGTTATTTAGATTTAGTACTTACAATTTGAGACCTTCAGAAAAATGACACCTCACCTGCTTGCTTAGCAAATCTTGTCAATATTGATGGTATGTAAACGGGATGAACAGAAATTCTGACTTTTTAGTGGTTTGGGGTAGATGGTTGGCTAGACCAGCATTGGGGATGAAATAGAGCTCAGCTTTGCTGAAACACGGAAGAAAGAGTATTGCCCTTCATAAACACTGAGTCCTTTCTTAAAGCTGGCTGAAAAGCGGGGAGCAATGATATAGCCATTCTGTAGCAGCTATTATACAAGCAGAAGAAATGAAACTATACTACAAATAATCTGTTATATTTCAGGTCCTCCGGGGAAACGAGGGAAGAGGGGCCGAAGAGGAGAGTCTGGTAAGTGACTGCCTCGTGTTCCGAAAGTTCTGGTGCAGTAGCTATGTTTGTTTCCATTAATCAGTGGTGCCATTCCTTGTTGAAAGGGGTGTGTGTGTGTGTGTGTGTGTGTGTGTGTGTGTGTGTGTGTGTGTGTGACTTTTATTCTAGACCTTGAATTTAAGAAAAGACCCTAATTTCCAACAAATTCTAAGAAGGAAGTATTGGCAAAATGTTGTCTGTTAATAAGCACTGACACTCCATCCCTGGTTTTAGCTTGCTTGTTGACCAAAGTAAACCCATCTGTCCTGTGTTCCTTGGTGGGGTTCTCACTTGCACATGGCATGGCAACATGACCCCATGTGTCCTCTCTCTGGGTGAGCGGTGGGGGGGTATTTGTCTTAGTACTTCAAGGAGAATACCTTGGAAAGCTCTATTATTTTATCCAATGGCACAGTTTGTCCCACTGCCTTACCGTTCTTACGGACTGTGGGAGTAGCCCCTGTGTAGCCACAGAGCTTCGGTGATGAGTGCAGTGTCATTAGTCTGGAGTTTCCTCGTTGTCATTGAGGAAATAGAGCCGTTGTCTGATCTGGCCAGGGCTATTACAATCCTTTGTCCTGACTCCCCGCTTCAGTAGTTCATGATTTCAGGACAAATTCCTATAGGTAAAGTAAAGTAGAAAAGACCAAATTAAGATATTTTTGAAACCAAGATATAGCAATAAGTAAGGTCAGTTACTGCTCTTAATCTTAGTCTGAGATTTCAAAAGGGCCAGTATCCAGATGGCTTTCTTAGAACATCAGTTCTTCCTTTCATGGTGACTCCAGCATGCTCTGAAATGGGAGTTTCCACTATCTAATGCTAGGATTTATCAAGATTTAAGACAGTCACTGGCCAAGTGTTGAAAGAGTAGAACCCTAGCTTGTCAGGAAGAGCAGGCAGCAGGCTGAATCTGAGCCGTTCCATTTCCTCTTCCCCTTTTAAAAAGGTTGCTAAAGTGAAAGGGATTATGAAAATTCATCACCTGGGGAGGCTGGCTGCTGATTCCTGAGTATCCTCAAGAGCCATCCTTAGGCCTCCCTGAGTGTAGCTGGCAGGACAGGGTTCAGAAGTGAGGCTTCATCCCATCCTTTAAAATTAAATGTCAAGGCCAGCCTGCAGCGTGATGGGACTCACTTTGGCACCTTCAGTTTGTTCTTGTTTGTTTGGCTTCCCCAATACCTGCCCCGACTCAATGCTTCTCCCACACTAGCCGGGAAAAGAAATGATAAAACATTGTTGGAGTCAGACAATCACCTAAACAATCTCGTGTCAAAAGATTAAGGAGGAAGTTCTATAGACAAGATCAAAATCACTTCCCAACCGCCTAGTCACTTAGAGTTGGTGTTTAGAGCATATGGTGTGTGAAATACAGAAACGTTCTCAGTGTTTGCCTGTGTTCTGGTTTCAAGAAACCTCTAGAGACGCCAGGCCTGGGCCTTCATGCATTGGGGAAGCGTTGAAGGAAGAGTGTTCTTCAAGGGAAGCCTTCAGCAAATGATAGGCTTTGCTGATTTCACTGTTGATCAAGCTCAGTTCTCTGGAGAAGCCTGTCAAAAGCAGTCAAGATTCTCCTGACTCATATTTTACCTAAACTTGTAGGTATTACACAGTTTTAGTTAAAGATCACAGGCCTCTCAGCTACACATGAGTGCGCTTTGGAGAACCCGAAAGTTCAAATTCTCCACACAATTTGTGTTTGGGCATAAGTTTATTTTTTCTGTCATCTCAAAGGTCTGTGATGTAAGGGAAAGACTTAAGAATCATTGTGTTCTAAGTCTCCTTTGTGTTTTTAGCATTGCGATGTGGTTATCATGATTCATTGTCTATTAATTTTAACATTGATATTCACTAATTTCTCTTTCTCTTTTTCCTCCCCCCATCCTCGCCCACAGGTCCTCCTGTAAGTATTGTCTGATGATTTGAGCTCTCTACATTAATCAAGATCCACGTATGTTAAAACCTTGTTAAAAACAGATATGGCTGAAGCTTCATTCAGGAAAATGTGACTGACCTTTTATGAATGTTTAATGTGGAAAATAATTTCTTTACTACACAATTTTGGGGTCGTGTGCTATACTAGAATGCAGTGTTTGGGGATGGGCTTTATTTTTTATGTTGTCACACACTGATTATTCTCTTGAGACTTTGGAGTAATGTATGAAGCTTCTGGTTTTGCGTCTTTTTCCTGGAATTCTGAGGTTTCTTTTGCAAGCAAGTCTCCAAGCTATTTCACACTTCTTTTTTCATCTGTTTAAACTCGTGTCTGAGATATTTGGATTTGCCGGTCCACCAAATGTAGATGGCAACATGATCATGGAAGCGATACCCCCTGTGCGCCGCCGCCGAGGCCAGTCATCCCTTCGAAGGCCGAACTTCCTTTGAAGTCTGTTGGAGCCTTGCCTGCATGAGGAGGCTGAGACACGGCCCTTGGAGAGTTGGTACTCCTTTCTTTCCCCGAGTAGGTCATAGCTGTGGCATTCCAGACTGTTTTGCACTCACAGGAATAGATTATCTTGTCAGCTTTGAGCTCGATGTGTTTTTGAGTAATATCCTGGATATGTGCTGTCTGACCCCGGTGTTTACACAGTGCACCGGGCCATTTCAGTAGCAGTGATCATTAGCCTTGAGATAGTTTCTCATCCCAGATTCTACATTGCCACTTTATCTGAGGCCGGCATAGTCCAGGGAGAGGGATTAGCACACACTTGTGGACTTGTTCAGAGGAAGCATTGGCTTCTAAATATCTTTTGCAGCCTTCCTGCTGTGTTCAAGGATGGGACATGAATCATGTTCGCAATACTCTTGCTTCTGTGACTGACTTATCTGCTCTTGCTTAATGCTAGGTAGACAGCGTGGCCCAGGTCTAGAAGCCTTTACTCCCTGCCTACATATTTAAGCTTCTGTCTTTAAAACTCAAAACAAGACACGACTACCCCAGAGGAAACTCCCAGGGTTACCAGGGGAATGACATGTTCAAGGTTTCTTTCTGGGGAATTTGTGTTTGTCATACAGACTGAGAAGTTAATTCCCATGTCTGCCTGATGGTGACCTTTAAGATGGAAGCATTTCCTCTTTGGTTCATTAAAACAGCATGTGGGCATATTACCTACATTTGCTTGGGCTATCTCCTAGTCCAGATTTTCTGCTGAAAGGTTTTGTGTATCTTTTCTTACTATATATAAAGAAGGGAAGAACTTACTAGGTCTCGGCTATTTGGTATGCAATTGTCTATGCACTTTGTGCACAAAATTTCATTTTCATTCATACAACCCTCTGATACTACCAGTGATGAAACTAAGGTTCTTTGAGGTTAATTCCATAAAGTTGCATAGTTAAGGGCTTGTGAAGTTAAAATTCGGTGGGATACATGTGATTTTATATAATTTCAGCTTCCTACTTAATTCCTCATGAATTCTAAGTGTGTTATAACACAGGCCATTGTTATAAAAGTTAGGCAGACCATGGTTAAATCACATTCCCTGGCATTAATAATCACATACAAAAAAGCTTGGTCCGTCAATGTAAAATGGCCACATTATAAAGCAAGCATGACCCCCTCCACACACACTTTACCTTGACTTTGTTTCAAACTAGTCGGGATGAGGGCAGCCAACTACTTCAAGGACATTAAGTTGTGGCCATGGGTTTTCATGCTGAGTAAGAGATCATTCAGATTGTTCACATGAAGGCTGGATGAGAAACCAGTTGTAGTAGTTTAAGTGAGAAATGTCCTCCATAGGCTCAGGCATTTGCACACTTTCTCCCCAGTTGGTGGCGCTCCTTGAGGAGTTAGGATGAACAGCTTGCTGGAGAGGGTCAGTCCACCTGTGCTTCAGCCCCACCTCCCCACCAAGATGAATTCTTCTCTCTCTGGAACTGTCATCCAGAAACTCCTTCCACGAATCACTGTTGGTCCTGGTGTTCTATCGCAGCAGTAGAAAAGTAACTGGCACACTAATAGTTGAAAACCAGGGGAGGAAGTGTGTAGACTGCAGCCTCTTTGAATACAATGGAGTTGTACATTGTTGCTTATGATGCTGTGCCTGGGCTCCTACAGGTAAAATTATCATCTCATAATGAAGTCCTGTTGAGCCTCTCATTTTTTAACCCTAGGATTTCTAAGAAGTATCTCTCGTCCATCTTATTTTGCTTTAGAATAAGTAGCTTTATAGGCAATTTCTATAGTATTGCTTATATCTGAATAAATATTAATGAATAGTGGCACTGTTATGATTAGATAGACTTACTAGCAATGTATTTATCTACAGACAGCATCCAATTATTTGTGATGTTAATGTCTGATCTTATATTTCCTATTTTAAACATCATTTTAGTTTTGTGTATAGTTTTCTTTTATTCTTTTCCATGACCTGAAATCTAAAGTTAATTCAATCCTATTTAAAAAAAATTTTATTTCCCTAATTGGTGTCTTTAAAATGTGCTCAGCTGTCTTCACAAGTAAGAAACTACTTCCTCTGCAGATATCAAGGTGTGCTACTATTTTAACCACAAGTGCCTTTGTTTTCATTCTGTATTTTTTATGTGAAGCCCACAGGTAGTCTGATAAGTTGATAGTCTTCAACCTATAGCAAGGAAGTCCTCCAGATGTCTCTCTTGCGGACCTCCTGGCATGCTGGAGCTTCTTATGAGCAGGATGCTGAGGCTCCACCTGTGTGCATTTTTTCGTCCTTCACTTTTTAATTTTGTTGTCAGAAATACTCAGCATAACAGGCAGCATTGGGCACATTGCAATGATCCACAATGTGCTGACTGGTCCAGGGAAGGGTGGCAAATCTCATTGACTTTTCTTCTTGCTAAAACGTACCTGTTCCTTGTTACCCTCTTGCAGTAATATTCTCCAGATTAAAAGAGCAAAATAATAAAAAATTATTATTGATGATGATAAAATTTATTGACTTCCCCTTTATATCTTCATTTGATATGTTTTGAAAATCTTGGGTAAAACCCACTAGAATGTGTGGGCATACCTAATTACATGCTTTACTTGTCAGTTTCTAGGTTTTTTGTATATTGAGGTTATTTATAATTTAAAACTAGAACTGCAACTTGAATGTGCAACCCACATATCAATTTACTCTACAATAAGCTGTTAAGCCTTAATCCATTTTGACAAAAATATTTATAAATAGCTGAAATGGAGCAATTTTATGATTATAAAGTCTGCTTTTTCTATTCATCTACTTTTCTTCTCATGAAAGTGACATACCTTAGAATCCTGTTCTAAGGAACTCCATGCAGATGCTTAGGCATCTAACTCTGATAATACTCCAGTGATGTGTCTGACCATTGTGTTTATTAAGTATGAAATTATGCTTTCAGTTTTGGATAGCTTGTGAGTGAGTATGTGTATGTGTGCACTAGCACGCGCATGTGCGCTATACATGCAGATAACCTACGTGTGTGTGAATGGAAGGCACAGGTTGACATGAGACATCTTCCTCAATTGTAGTCCACCTTGGATTTTGAGACAGGTTTGCTCACTCTACCTGGAGCTCACCAATTTGCGCTGCCCATTGAGCTCCAGGAATTTGGTTCTCTGCCCTCCAGTGTGATGGTTGTCCCACCCCCATGCCTGACTTTCAATGTGTGTTGGGGAATCCAAACTCTGGTACCTGGGCACTTTGCAACTGAACCATCTCCAGCCCTGTTTCAGATATATATATATATATATATATATATATATATATATATATATATATATATATATATATATATATATATATATGAAGCAAAGACTTAGATATGAATTTGGAAAATTACTTCAGGATTTTTAAAATGAGCAAACATCTCCCCCAGTTTTACAGCCTGTCTTTCTGTCCAAAAGGAAGTTCTACTCAAATATTCATGGGTCACAGAATCAAGCATGTCTAATAACTGTAGCCAGAGAGAGAGTCAGGAGACCCCTTTGTAACTGACTGTTTTACTTGTATGGGTCCACCAAGCCCCATAATTACTCTTGATTGACAGAGATATGATGTTATTGTTGGTAGCTTGAACTCTCTGAGGTGTGAAATCCGATGCCGTTACACAGCCTGTTTTGTTCCGTCCACCTTCAGCAATTGTCAACTCGGCTTGAACGTTAGAATGTTGTTGACAGATGAGTGAGGCAGACCGAGCCAAGCTAAGCTCACTGTGCTGGTCCTGTGGTAGATGAATTAGGAAGAAAAAGTCTCTGAAGAACTTTAAGATGCAAAACTCTGACATCTCTACCTCATAATGAAGAAACAACTTAAGATTTCTCATTCTAGAGTAATTCTTCTCCAGATATAAGTATAAGTGATAGCAACCACTCATGTTTTGCCATTGCATGTATCAATGTCTATATCGCCTTAGTGACCAAGACTGACTAGACCCATTTTACAAAGGAAGAAACTGGGGGATGGGCCCGTTAATTACATAATTTGTCCAAGAGCATACATCAATCACGAAACAGAAGTAGAATTTGAACCTAGGTTTATCTCTCTTCAAATCTCATTTCCCTCCATGTGGCCCAAAGACGTTTTTCAGGCAAGTTGAGTTCTAGCATCACGGCCTTCTCTGTAGGTAGCGTCCTTGCTGTGCCTCGCTCTGCCTGCTGGTTTCTATCGGTTACTCTAAGTACTTTCTAGTTATCTGTGGACCTTGCAACTTGTCCATAGGCTTTCCTGTTGTCACTTACTCAGAACGAACTTACATGTGATGTGAGCAGTGTCAAGTGAAAGCACATTCCCTAAAAGGATAAGCTTTGCCTTTGAGTCAGGAAAGTGTGTTTGTGAAAGTTTTTAGAAAAAGCTCTTCTATGCTTTTGTTCCATTCTTTTCCTGTTACAGCAACACAGTAGTCTGACAAAGGCAACTTCAGAGCTGGTGGCTTGTTTCCATTCACGCTTGCTGGGCTCAG